AGTTGGTGTCATCTCCAGTGATTAATGAAGGCAATAAATACAGCATACTGATCCATCCCCGCAAGGTCTAATGTATTTACTATGGTCGCCCTATAGTGTAGAGTGACCATGATAATCAGTACACTTGTGCGCCCGAACGCACCGACTGAGAAACGCTGCCCTATACTGTTACTTCCTATGTTTGCACAGTCCATAACTACAAAAGTTCTGTCTTGGCTATTGAACACGCTTCCCCCCCATAAACATAGCAGATTTTAAACGTAAAAAGTAAAAGAAAAGAAAATTTGATGTTTATAAACACAGAAAAGGAGGTACAGTGTAGTAATGGATAGCGGCTCAGATTGAGGAATCGGAGAGCCGAGTTCGAATTCCAGTCGGAAAAATTACATTCACATACGAAAAGAAAGGTATGAATTCTATCCTACCTCCCCCCGCCAGCTATGGGTAAATCGCAGGACAGACTGGGTTCCATAACCTTTGATAGCAACCGGTCTAGAAAAAGGAAAAACTCTGAATTCAGAACCTGCCTAAAGAGAGTTGGGCTTACCCAAGAAACAGCACTTCTACTGTGGCTGCAGTACACATTGAGCCCCTACGACCCTACGGGGTTACAGGGTAAAAGAAACACTCACACACGCACACACAGAGAGAGAGAGAGAGAGAGAGAGAGAGAGAGAGAGAGAGAAGTACGAATAACTTTCCAATCAGAATGGCTAAATGAAACCCAGGCATGTAATCCGCATAAGAACGTCAATTTATAAATGGACACGAGTATGAGAAAGCAGTAAGAACCTCCCCTATATATATATATATATATATATATATATATATATATATATATATATATAATCACTTATTGAGAAAGAAATTTTTCTTCAGGCAATTTTGTGTTTATAATAAAACGAGGTATCTAAGCGATTATGTTAAATACTGCAAACAGTTTGAAAAGAATGGGCTCGCAAAAAAAAATCAAAAACATTAAAAGCAGTTCTTTATAAAGGGATCAGACGATACTAAACTTCAGCGTCGTCTGATCCGCTTCGCCAACCCATTACCAAGGGTATTTACAAATGTAAATTGCTTAGAAAATATCAAAAACATCTTTAACGTAAATCCATTTATCTCTTCACCTGTCATTGGCTTCTTGAATTTATGACCAAAAGGTAAAAAAAAAAAAAAAAGTTAAGCTGGTTGCCGTAACCAATACCTGTAAATATATACACAGAAATATTTGTGTTAAAATTTGGCATTTCTCTTTGCTCCCCACCCACTTGCGCCCTCCCCCAATGTCTACACAGATATGCAGGCATGTAAAATATCAGTATTAAAAACAAAGTTATAAATAATATTCGAGGTGTATAAAGCCATAAATGTCTTAGAAAAAAAGAATTAGTTGAATATTTGAAGGTGAAAATTGTCGTAATCCCCGTAAATTAATTCCTAAATCCTTTATGTTTTTTTTTTTTTTTTTTTAAAGAAGTGTTCTTAGGGTTTTTCCATTGAAAAACAAAGGAGCATATCTATTGGAATTAAATGTGACACGTAGATCAGATGCAAAATTAATACAAAAATAATTAGATGAAAAAAAAAAAGATGTGCGGAAATGAAATGTGTCAGGCCACTTTACGTTTGCTCCAGATAATGTAGGCGTTATCGTCGACTAACACCGATTCAGGCAGCTGACTTTTCTAGTGAGGAGCGTGGCCATCTAACATAATGGAATTGATAGCTGTGTATGCAGCCAGTGGAATGATGATGCAGCATCGCCGGGCGAAGGGTTTCCTAGACTGAAATCAACAGGCAGGATGAAGAGTTCCTACTCCAGTAACCTGCCATCAGTCTACTCGAAACGTATGCTGCACGGACAGACTGTAATTATCTTGAATGGTTCTTGTCAACTGCAATAAGCGAGTTTGAAGCTAAGATTACACAGAGTGTTGTCCAAGCTATGTATGACTATAAAAAATTCGCGAGAGTAAAATCGGGTTTCCGGATCTTTTGGTGAGGTACTTCCTCATTCATTCTGGCTTGTTTGATATCTGTCCACATAAACACATGTTAATATGTAACTGGATGGAAATGTTAATATTGCTCATATATTTCAGTTATTAAAGTAATTTACAAAAATATCGTCCTTCTTTTTTTAAAAGAAAGCGCATTTATGAATGTATTTACATATATACGTAAACATAACCGCTTTTTAGAACGTAACTAATAACTGATACAACAAAAGTTAATAAAAATGAACACGCTACCACCCCTTGTCTGAATGATTGGATCTCTCTGTATCCTTGGAAATAGTGAACTAGGAATTTTTCGTTGCCTTTAAAACTCAGTAAATTTAAAAAAATAAGTTACTCCAAAATTCGCTTAAGGATGAAATGGAACTAATGTTTTTAATTTAATTACAAAATTAAATTTGAAGCTTTTAGCTTCCATTTTTGAAACATGGTTATTACTGTGTAGCGAAAAAAAACATATTTTAAATCTGTTAGTTTATAATATTAATGCTCAGAAAATTTACATTGAGCACTATTTTGTAAAAATAAAAATACCAATAAAAACACCGGATTATATATCTTACTGTTCTTTCTATTCTTCTCTCTCTCTCTCTCTCTCTCTCTCTCTATATATATATATATATATATATATATATATATATATATATATATATATATATTCTAGCGAGTGGCACGTTTGGAAAGTACTTGAAAACCATACTACGGGTTGCTGTTTCAAAATTTCTGGCAGAGTGAATTGTGTTACGGTGGTTTTTTCTCACAGATAGTTCCCAACTGACCTTACTATACTGTGCAGTCGACAAAATCAAAAAATGTACATGTGCGAAATTAACAAAATAATATGGTAAAATTTACCCATCGAATATATATATATATATATATATATATATATATATATATATATATATATATATATATATTGTTTATTTGGGCAACAATCCTTCCTTTATGAAAGTTTCGTTAAAAATGATTGACAAGGTACTGTGGCTAAGTTTTTATATAAATTTTATGGCGTAAATTATCTAAATTGTCTAAATTTTCCCGAGCGCTTTCGACCATACTTTTACCCATTATCAAGGATGGATTTTATTTTTACTTTTAACTGAATGTATGGATTATTTTATGCATGAATCTAGAGTTATAGGAACGTTTTATTTTACAAACACAGTCAGCACATTACGACCGTGTTCATAGTTGATATTATTGAGTATTGGCTTTTTCGTTTTACTAATAAGCTTTCCATTATTTTAGCCTTGTTTTACATGAGCATGTGGTGATGTATATCAACGAGTATATTGCGGATATTGTTAGGTCAACATGTATACTTAAATAGGATCTAATTAATTATATTAAGTTATAATCAGAGAGATGTCAGAGAGTCTACTTGTTAATTATTTACGAATTTGTTTTGGTCAGTAACACAGTTCTTTAAGCTTCATATATATATGTATGTATGTATGTATGTATGTATGTATGTATGTATGGGGGGATTTCAGATATAATAAAAATATATCTATAAAAGGAAATATGAATAAAGACAAAAGGAAAACTTATCTTAGCCGACGCGTTCCACCCAGTAATGGACTTTATCAAATTTTATTTTTTATTTTATTTCGCAACAAGTATTTATAAACAAAAGTAATAATGTAGTTAGTTTTTTTTTAATTTAAAAATGCTTATACATCTACATTAGACTAACTGGAATGTCAAATAAATTATGAAGGATATTAAGTCATGTAATTTAATGTCTAATAAACAAAAGTGAGTAAATGTAGTTCACACACACACACACACACACACGCACATATATATATGTATATATATATATATATATATATATATATATATATATATATATATATATATATATAATGAAATTATTATTCATATTATTTTAGCTTGGGATTAATTTATGTATTATATGTTTCCAATAATCGATTATTATGAATTTAACCGTTTTTTTTTTAATCTAACATTTCTATACTTATATTGGCTTAGGAAAAGAGTATTTTTTTCAGGAACGGAGGTGTTTGAAAAATCCGTAACGTAGATTTATATTTTAGTAAAATTTCATAGCGGCACTCTCAAGAATTTTCCGTTTACATAATTGCTTTCTCTGTTGAAAAGTATGGCATTATTTACAGCGAAATTTTGGTCGAATTTATTTCTATGTATGACTAATGCATTTGACAAATTGTGTGTATGTATGAATGTATATATATATATATATATATATATATATATATATATATATATATGTGTGTGTGTGTGTGTGTTACGGATAAATGATGTGACTCTGAGAAGTTACAAAGAGACCTGACAAACTGAAGTTCAAAACTTAAACTGACAGGATAAAAGAAACGCTCAAACAAAAATACCAAAAAGTCATTGAAAATACAATCACGAAACCAATCATATTATAACCTGTATCTAATATAAAATGATATACGGCCTACAGGTGTTGATGTTTCTTCCCGCCATATGAGACTTGATAGCGTTTTGGAGTCGAGAAGTGATATTTGGTTGGTGGTGGGTGCTCTGTTTTGGACGGGCTTCATATGAAATAAGACTTGGGTTCGGTCCCGCGCACAGGGTATCGGTTGACATCATCTGTGATGGCGACCTGTCACAAGCCGCGCCGCGCTGTAAGTCAATACTGGTTAAGGATCATCCCACTAAGCTTTTTTCCTTTTATTCTCTTGATGGTGTTGTTGTTAAAGCAGTTATGTGTCGTTATCTTTCTTTTCTCAGATTAATGAATTTTCACCTCGCCCCATCTCCATTTCCGCCAGGTTCTCCACTCCCACTCTCGTAATCTTTTACACATATACCTGCACACGCACACGCACATTCATATTCAAGTTTGATCCCATGCGCACTCATAGAGACAGTTTGGGAAGATATGGATTATATGATTAATTTTTTTTATAATCAATATATGTATCGCTATGCAATAATATCTCTCTTTTTTTTCAAAAGTCATAAGGATTAATCTATCTATCTATCTATCTATCTATCTATCTATCTATCTATCTATCTATCTATCTATCTACCTAAGGCTGTTTCTTTCTACCTATATCAGTCTCTATGTAACTCAGTGTGTTTCTTTCTTTCTATCTATCAATCTCAGTGTTTCTTTCTTTCTTTCTTTCTATCTATCTATCTTTCTTTATCTATCTGTTTCTGTCCCTCCCCAATCTCTTTATTTATCTATTTATCTATCTGTTTCTGTCCCTCTCACTCTCTCTTTATTTATCTATCTGTTTTTGTCCCCCCTCTCTCTCTACCTATCTATTTATCCATCTATCTATTTCTGTCCCTCTCTCGCTCTCTCTCTCTCTCTCTATCTATCTACCTATCTAATTCTATCCCTCCTTCTCTCTCTCTCTCTCTCTCTATCTATCTATCTATCTATTTCTGTCCCTCCCCCTCTCTCTATCTATCTATCTATCTATTTCTGTCCCTCTCTCTCTCTCTCTCTCTCTTTCTGTCGTTCCCTCTCTCTTTATCTATCTATCTATCTATACATACAAAAACCCTGATCCGTTCAGTCACTTAATGAAATAGTCAATTAGGCAGAGTTAATATTTTAGCTTGTTAGGCCATTAATGGAATCTTCTCTGGATGTATGTGTGCGTGTAATCACATGTATTTATGTACGTAAAAACTTTAGCTCCCCGACCGTGAAATCTTAGTTCGAATTTCACCAGAGAGGATTTGTCAACTCGGTGTTTTCTTGATAATATCGGCATGTGGGGATAATCCCAGTGTGAGTAACCGATGGGAATGCGCAGACAATCTCACCACAGATTGATAAAAGATTTATGATTGAATTTAATTTGCCGACAATGTTTCCGATCCGTCGATGGCAGTGCAAGCATTAAATAACAAATCATGACCAATGGTTTGAGCGTAATAGACTCTTGTTCAACTATTGATACTGGCAAATTATGCGCTCTTTCCCAGAAGCGTTTCCCCCAGAAGTTCTAATTAAAGTCCTATCAAAATAGTTACGATATAAAGCACTGTTTGTATTAAAGAAATACAAATATTCATGAGCAGGTGTCTTGGAATTGGTTTGGGGCATGGTTTATATAAATCCGAAGAATACAGGTATACTCGGAAAAGAACAGCCTGCCATATTACATATATAGGAGGCACGGTGGAGTAATGGATAGCGGCTTGGATTGAGGAATCGTAGAGCCGAGTTCGGATTCCAGACGAAACAATTACATTCACTTACGTGCTAATACTCTTGGGAAAGGTATGAATCCTCTTCTTCTCCCTCCAGCTATGGGTAAATAGCAGGAGAGACTGGGTTCTATACCCTTGGATGGCAACTGGTCTAGGAGAAGGACAACACTGAATTCAAAACCTGCGGAGGGTCGTTTGGGGACCTTGTGGCACGTAGTGCACCAGATCTCTGGATTCGGCCCTTCAAAAGGTGTGGATGGTCCTGCACGAAACCTTCACCACTATAATCAAATCTCTTGTCGGGCTGTCGGTTTCCTGGGAACTGATCTGCGTGACCCTCATACGTCGAATTCGACGGGAGAGTCGACTATATATATATATATATATATATATATATATATGCACGTTTCATTAAATAATATAGACAAGTGTTGTCTGTTTATTTTATGTCAAAATTTTTCGTAACGTCTGATAAGTTTAATAACATTATCGTTGAACGAAGAAAGAAATTCACAATATTGATCCATATTTTTTTAATACAATCTAAGCTTTCGGCTTACTTAAGCCATTATCAAAGATGCCAATTACAACATATTAAACAATATACGAACAAGACAGTGATGATAGTCTGTCAATGTTTACATAGATGATTTCTATGCAACAATAAACACATGCATATAAGACGCTAGAAGGAAAATCGATGACCACACGAGAGTGAATTGACAAGTATGGGAAGCCGTTGGTATAAACGTATATATATATATATATATATATATATATATATATATATATATATATATATATATGGTGGAACCGCGGTTCACGAATTTAATTCGTTCCTGAAGACCGTCGTAACCCGAAACTATTTTTCCAATAGGAGTCAATGTAGAAAAAATGTCACAGTGCAATAAAATTAGAAAAGAAAAGCAAAGCACAACACACGAATGTATACAAAATGGCGGTCGACTCAGAAATTATTCCGTTCGGGTTAACTCGGTTCGGCTATGTTGTTCGAGAAGCGAAATTGTGTTCGATAACCGAGGCATTTTCTTCTCGAATTTTCAGTTCGAAACCGATTTGTTCGATATATGAGATGCGCAAGGCCGTGGTTGTGCTCTCTCTCTCTCTCTCTCTCTCTCTATATATATATATATATATATATATATATATATATATATACACATATATATTTTTACTTATTTTTTTTAAGCGTTTCACCCCAAGCACGGCGGGAAGCCACTAGGACGCAAAAGATTCCAGAAGATTTGAAGCAAGATCAGATAGGAGTGATAGAGGAAAGGATGAGGAGAAGGATAGTGGATTGTTATAGTGGAACACACCTATTCTATAGTTAATAGACTCTCCCACCTATAATAAGTAGGAGTAGTAAGAGTAACAAGTCTGTCGCTCGGTCGCTCAGTGGGTCGGTCAGTCACTCGATGCCGGACGACCGTTAGTCGGATACTAAAGTATCAGCGACTACAACTAGATTTTCTCTGCGTCAACCTATTATATGAAGTTCCTAACGTTTTGTACGTCGAACCTATTTTAGGACCGACTTAGTACAAATACAAGCCTGCACTGTGAAACCACTCCACAACATGGATAGATCAAAACAACTGGAGATCTCGATTGACATTGCATTTGAACAGTTGGAGATTATAACTCTCAGGGAAACTGGAATAGGGAAGAGAGTTCCACAGGCAAGAGGTGCGAGATATGAAGCTATTGGAGTAGAAGAGACGGCTACATTTAATAGTTTCGACAGTGAAAGGGTGAGAGCGGGATGCCAGCCTTGTAGGACGCTTGAATTCATGAAGTCTGGGAACCAGCGAATGCAGCTCCTCGGAGAAATTACCATGGAAGTATTTGTAAAAAAGACTGAGAGAGGCGACGGCGCGTCTGTGAGAGAGTGACTGTAGACGAGATGTCAGATCAGGGCCAATTATATTGTATATCCGCCTCTGGATCTTATCAAGAACCCCGAGGCAAAAAGAAGGGGCTCCAGACCATATATGGCAGCAATACTCGATGCAAGGGTAAATTGTTGATTTGTAGATCTGAAGGATCGATTCCGGGGAGATAGTGGGATGAGTGCTCTATCGCTGCTACCATGGAAAGTGCTCAGACGAACTACATTGTAGCAAACCCCACACATTCCCTTCGATGGAATACATCGGCGAGAAATAACTTTTACTCAAACAGCTTCTTCCTACGAACCAACGCTCTGTGGAACCAACTTCCAACAATAAAAGTGTAATGTCTCAGTTGTTATCCCGAAAATTTGCACTTCGGATCAGTTCTTTTAAATCAAATATGTCGTGTAGTTCAATTTTTATTACAATGAATCATTCATACAAAAAGTAAATTAGTAAAGTTAATGATATAACATGGCGACATCCCTATTGCTAACAAAATTTTAAAGATGCATTAACCTACTAATCACTTGATGAATGTTATGATCCTTGTTTTAAAAAATTATAAAAAAAATATCATAAAATTCATCGAGCGATTTGTAGGTTAATGCAACTTTAAAAATTTTGTTTGCGAAAGGATTTCACCATTTTATATCATTAACTTTACTAATCTACTTTTTGTATAAATGATTCATTGTAATATATATATATATATATATATATATATATATATATATATATATATATATAAATGGACAAAGTCCGAATAATTATTTTAATTGTTAATACTGTTTTATTATAAATAGACCGTTTACTTAAATATCTATATCTAATAAAAATAACGTATAAACAAAAGATAACTTAAAAATAATTGTCGGACTTTGTCTGTTTCGAAGTGTGTGACGTCATTTGTTTACGTTTAGATACGCTTCTAGCAGATATGGACGTTCGAGGGAAATCATGGAAGATTGTAGTTTAAAAGCAGTAAAATGGACCTTCCTAACCAAACGCTCCTCTGTAGCTAAACTAGTATAACACGTCAGGCTTTATGACGGTTCCGTTTAGGATACAGGCTCGATTCCTGTCGCAGGGCATATATTTTCTATGAAAATTTCTTGGACATTCAGGCCGGTAACTGTTGTTAATACTGTTTATCGTAAACAGAGCAGTTACTTAAATATTTTATCTATAAAAATAATGTATAAACAAAAGATAACTTTATATATATATATATATGTACGTATGCTTACGCTTACGCTACATACATACATACACACACACACACACACACACACACACACACATATATATATATATATATATATATATATATATATATATATATATATATATATATCTGAGTGTCTCTAGGTTGGTTCTTAATTAATTTCACAGCTTCTGTGAAGAGGCATTTTCCATGGCGCAACTTCCTTTTGTTGCTTTAAGCAAATTTTGACCCTTTACCACCCCTCTCTGTCTCACGTCAACCATCCAGTAACACATATACATTAGATAGATAGGTTCGTCTATCATCACACTCTTTCCCCGTCTTTTGAACAGGAGTAAAGGTTTATCGCTTGTTTCCTATTCAGGATTGGGTTTCAGGTTCCTTGCAGTGTCTCCATCAACTCTATATTTCTAAAGTCTCCGCCTAAACTCTAAAAGTTATTTAATATTTATTTTTTACAAAAAATATCATTTTAACGAAGCCATTTCTGAGCTTAGCTCACTGGTCGGGACCAGCAAGGAAATGTGCATAGAATAGAAATCAAAGAAATAATTATAACAATGTTCAATTGTTATTGCTGCACGAGGAAAAATACTAACAAATATGAAACATGCTGTTACTCGATTAACTGATAAATCGAGCATGGCTGAAAAACATTGCACCCATCGGTATTTCTCACAGTAAAAATTTTATCCATGTGACAATTTATGAACCAATATTGCTGGAACTTGCAAGCACATTCTCATCTATTCACAGAAACCTGCACATTTTATAATGATTTCTTCTTCATATTTCATCGATTCTTCGAGTTTACAAAATTTTGCACCTTTGGCATAATTCTAGTTTTTGAGATTATCACTTTAATAGTGATACAATTTAACTGCACAGACATTTCACCTGTGCAGAAACATGCACTTTTTAATGTAAGTTTGAACTAATATACACAATGATACGGCATAATAAAAGTAGGAAAATGTTGCTACGGATGTCAACTACAAATCCAACCGATTAAACCAATAATCGGGATCTGTTGACTTAAGTTTCAGGTTGAAAGTTGGTGGTAAAGAAAAAAAAAAGAAAAAAAATACTCTCTCCATCTCTGAACCGGGGTAGAGGAAGGAACATGATAGGGTGTCGAGTAGTTTATATTTTTTTTTTTTAAGTTTGAGTGAGAAGGCAACCAAGGCGACTTGGGAATCATGTT